CTAGCTAACAAAAAAACAGGTTGTTTTGATTTCACATTACACCTAATTTTATGATCTGCAGGGATGCGGCAACATCGTGAGACACAATGTATAAATTATCCCATTAAAGAAAATTACTAATTTATAAAAGAAAATTTATCAATTGGGTATAGTAATAACTAATAGAAGATATAAAATATATATAGTAAGAAGGTATAAAGTATAGAAGTGCAGATTAAAAAAATTGTTTTTGTATAACATTATTTAAAAATATTATTTTTGAGTTCTAGTTATTATGGGAGGTATAGAGTATAAAAATATAATAATTAATTTTGAAATAATACAAAGGTACTTTGTGTAATTACAAGATGATTGATACAAGAAAATTTATAAAAAAAAGAAAAACTAGTGAATAAAATAAAAAGAAAAGAAGAAAACATAAAAAGAAGAGAAAGAGAGGAAAAAAGAAAGAAAAAGAGTAAGAAAAAGAAAAAAAATAAAAATAAAAAAGAAGCTAGCTAAGAAAAGAAAAGTTTAAGAAAGATAATATAATAATATAGTAAAAAAAAGATTAAAAATTACATGCAATACAAAGAATTACAGATCCTGTTATCGTCACCAAAACTGTAATATAGTAACTAATAAGTAGTTAACTATATTACTTAATATGTAAAAGGGTAAAAAAATGTGTATAAGAAGATAAGAAGAAAAAAACAAAGAAAATAATCAAGAAAAGTATAATAAATTTATAATAAAAACATTAAGATTAAAAAGAATTTTTATAATATAACAAAGAGAGGTATAAAGAATATAAAGAATAATATTTGTGTTAATGAACTACTTAACATACCAGATAATGTACCACTTAATATATCAGATAATGTATCACTTAATGTACTAGATAATATATCACTTAATATACCAGATAATAGACTACTTAATGTACCAGATAACAGACTAGAATTAACTAATAATTTCTACTAGAATTAACTAATAATTTCTACCAAAATTAACTAATAATTCTAACTACTAAAATTTGCTAATATAACAAAATACTAACTCTACCCAAACTCTAATCTTAGCTCTAACTCTAACTCTAATCTCAATTTAATTAATTTTTTATATAAAAATTGTTTTGACAAATTATAATTTATATATATACATAATGAATTAGCATATCACAGGGTGCTATATATTTATTTATTCTTTAAAAAAAAATTTTTTTTTGAGCCACTTTTAGCTCTATACATTAATGGTAGTTATGCTAGAGTTATTATTATAAGGATTACCTATTTGATCCATGTAATCTAAGATGGTATTTAAGGATTAGAGAGATTGTTGTGATTGGCAATACATTTTTCTTTTACTGCCCGACTTGAATCTAGCTCTTTCATATATAATGTCTCTTTTCTTATATACAGTTACTGATAGACAAAAACACTATAAGAGAAAACTAAATAAACAAATCAAAACAAACTCAAGAAAAATTGTGGCTTAGAGAGTCTGATAAGAAAATCTCTTTTGAGAAATTGGCCAAACACTGTCAAACTCATTTAATTTAAAAGAAAGCATGCTGACTTCGCTCATAAGTTTTCAAAAGGATAAAACTTTATGAGTAACATGCTTTTAGAGATGCAGCTTCTAAAAAAAAAAAAAAAACTATATATATATATGGGTTCTATAGATCAGTTCGAAAAAAAAAAAAGATTTCTGAACAACTTTATGATCTTGGTTGTTGTGATCAACATAAGATTTGTGTTGAAAAAGATGAAAAGAAGGTCTTTAAATACTATTTGAATACTGCTGATTTAAAAAATCTAGCTATGATGAATAATATTTGTATATATTACAAACCTTATAAATAAAACTTGCAGATTTAAAGCATGTTACTGCAAATATAAAATGTTGATATTATCAACATGGGATTTGTGTTGGAAAAATAAAGAAAAGGTCTTTAAATATTATTTAAAAGCTGTTGATTTGGGAATCCAGCTACAATAAATGATATTGATATTTGTTACAAATTTGGAGCATGCTGCTGTAACATGTAATGTTAATATTATTATTATGAGATTTTATATAAAAAAAAAAAAAAATGAAAAAAGGCCTTTGAATATTATTTGAAAGTAGCTGATTTGAGAAATCTAGCTATAATAGGTGATGTTGGTATTTGTCAAAAATACAGTGCAGACAACCTAGTCCCAACCAATATAATTGATGAAATTCAAATTGCTAATCCTTTTTTAAAAAAAAT